TAATATTTTTTATGTTAAAATATTAATATATTCACAATTTAAATATTTCAAAATATTAATATTACTTATTAATATCAATAAACTTTGAATTATATATATAAAAGTGAGTAAGAATTTTACAGTGACAATATATCAATTATTAATTTTTTTATTTGGAAAAATATATATTGATTGACTGATTAAATATGTTCTTTTGTTTATCTTCTGTACGAATGCTAACCACAAAAAAAAAAAAAAAAAAAACATGGAGAAATAATAGGCATACGTAACGGCTATTTTATTCTGAGAAATTCAAATCTAATGACTTTCTTGATTGCTCTCAAATCGGGTAGTAGAAATTAACAAAATTTAAATAACCTTTCAATAATTATAACTTTACATGTCAATTTTTTTTTTTCAAGTTTGCAATGATCATTCAAAAATTCATAATATGAAAATTAATTGTGATAAAAAATAAAATCTTTTCATGGATATTTGAAACAACATATATATACATGTATATAACATTTCATGATGCAGACAATATTTGGAGAATACATAGCTAATAGCATATAATTTTGATGATTTTTATTATATGTTATTATATCTTTTATCAAACTTTTGCTCATGGGAAGTCAATCAAAAAGGTTATTGAAATATGAAAATAAACCTTTCCATTCCTTTTTTTTTTTTTAATAAAAGGATCCGTAGTCTGATAATAAAAAATTATAAATATTGAAATTTGAGTTTTAAATTTGTTGGATATTATTTTTTAAAAAATGATAATAGGAAGTAATTAAATTAAACCCTAAGTTTCCATTCTCTTTACTATCTACTTCATACTTAAATTTGAATTCAAAATCTTAAACTTGCTTAAAAAGAAAATAAAAAATATACCATTGATCTTTTTTTTCTTTTTCCTTTTCATCCTTGTTGAAAATGGAAACAAAGACATCTCTCTCTACATGATAGACATGGCTTTGCTAGAAGATATGTATTAACTTTGCTGCTATTTCTTTCCCAACACATATGCCTTTACTAAATTCCAAGCTTTGAACATACTTCATTTAGATTCCCTTTCTTCCCATTGGACTTTGGAGACAATAATAGACACTTTCTTTTTACATCTAACTATGGTTAGGGGTGCACCAAAATTACCCTTTTATATAAACTTTTTTTCTTAAAAAAAAAGAATAAAATAATTGGTTTTGTTACATTTCATATATGTTTAATTAGTTTTAATAATTATAATTAAATAGGAAAAATCATCTAAAAAATTAATTAAATTGGAACATATTCTTCAAACCTCATTCAAGTGGGGTACCCTTTGATGTTCACAAGCATAAAAAATTTGCCAAGTTATCATTAGGAACTGCTTTTGTTTGGATGTACACAATGAGTTTCATGCATATCATAAAAGTAGCAATGTTTCCATACTCTCGGTGTGGACCAAATTGAACAAACACAGGTTGTTTTTATCATGGGTGTATCCCCATTCTCTACCTAAGGTCCCATGATCAACCTTGTGATTTATGCCACGTGTCAATCATTAATTGATGAAAGGTAAACAATTCCCCAATGATGCCACGAAAAAGAATGCCATAAAGTTTAAGAAAAGTCATTTGCAATTCCCCCCCTCCCCCCCTTTATAAAAAGGTGGAGAAGGGTAAAGAAAAGGGGGGAATTTGACACCTATAAACATTGAATGCTGAAACTTGTTTTTTCAAATTACAAACCAGCTGGCTTGATCAAGCACATGATTACCCTTGTGGGTTTTACTCGTACCTGGAGCTCACTCAAAGTTAAAAATATTGGATTCCTGCTCTTTTCTTTTCTTGCTAGCTCCTTAAATTTATTTTTCAGAATGCAGCATGAGATGAAAGAAACTGTTACATGATATATGATGGGCCACCTGTGATCATCAACATTTGTTAAAATGGATTTTATGATCCAAAATAGAGCTGATTGAAGCATCTCAATGATGCAAGCGAGAGAGGCTGAAATGAATTTGGGCTTGATTCACATATTTGAACTGAAAAGAACATTTAAGAATCTTCAGAACAACCCAGTTCCAATCTGTTTGTGGCCACTAAGATTAGACCCAAAAAGCTGAATCTTGGAAGTTGGAGCCCAATGTATTAAGCTAAATATGGGCTTAATGGATTGCAAGCGTGAAATGGTGTAGGCCCATTTTCCATCAAAACAGAAAACTGGAAACGCCCATCGACTGAGCTAAGTGGGATGGGGGAGAAAAAGATGATTAAATTGTTAGAATCAACCGGCTGAGGCATCGCCGGCACCGGAGTCGAGAATTTGTTAGATTTGGCAATTGAAGTCAATAAATAATCTGGTTGCACTACAGTAAATATCACCCGTAAAAAGATGCATCATGGATTGGATTGCTGAGAAATTGAAATTGGTGATGGTATTTTTGGGATGTCCTAGTTGGAAGAAAGGAGTGAGTGGAGGGAAAGACTGTTGTGCCTGCAGCCAAACAAACAAGGTCAGGAGAGGTCAGAGTTGTTATCATGGGGGCGTTTTAACGCTCAAATGCTTTTAAGACTTGGTAAGGAAGTAAGGAAAATGAAGTTAATGAGGTACGTATAGAAAGCTTTAGTAGAGGAAAAAAGCTTAAAATATTTGAGATCAAGTGGCATCGACTTAATTGAAATAATTAACAGTTAACAAGATATTTATTAGTGCTCGAGATGTCAATAATTGTTAATAATATTTAATAATTTTAAATAAATGTACATCGTATTTAATAATTTTAGATGAATTAAATATCAGATGATTAATTTTAAAATAATTACTTTGATTAGATATCCATAAGGCTCAGTACTTTGAGCGAGTTATTCCTTAAGATTGATAATATGACATATTTTTGGGCGATTCAAAGATGTGATTGTGTTGATCAAATTTTGATGAAATTAATCATTGATAAGTTGACTTAAACATAATAAAAAATAGATGATGAAACCCCAAACTGAAGCAAGATAGTTTTGATTCCGCCGTTTAATCTCACATGTTCTGCATGTTATTATGTAGCATTTGCCACGAAAGTAGTGGAAGAACGAATCATCTGGTTTAGATTCGGGATTCTTTGCAAAACAACAAAACAAATCAAAATGGACATATTTCCAAGTCAAATATTGACCAGTTCTTTACCTCTTTATTATTTCTAGTTTTCTAACTATTTAAAAATAAAAAATTAATTATATTTTTATATCTATTCAATTGATTTTTTGATATGTTTTCTCTAAATTTGAAGGAGAATTGAATGACTAATAATTTAGGGAATGAGGTACCTGGCGGTGCACTAGATTTGAGCGTGGTTCCCACCTCACAGGAGCATGGCTAATGACGAAGTTGTGACGTTAAAACTTCAGTAGGAAAATAGTACCTGAACTTCAAATTCACAAAAGAAAAAGGAAAAAAGCATCGAACAAAGACGAGGTGTAGAAACTAGGAAACACCTTGAAAAAACCAAACCAATTCCAGAATACCATCCCTTAGTTCCAAAAAGCTGAATCTTGGAAGTTGGAATCCAAAGTATTATGGGCTTAGCGATTGGAAGTGTAACATGATGTAAGCCCATATTTCCTTCAAACAGAAAACTGGAAACGCCCACCGACTGAGCCGAGTGGCATGTAGAACACAAAGATGATTAAATTGTTAGAATCAACCCGTTGAGGCGGTGCCAGCACTGGACTCGAGAAATTGTTAGATTTGGCAATTGAAGTCAATATATAATCTGGTTGCACAACAGAAATATCACCTGTAAAAAGATGCATCATGGATTGGTTCATTGCTGAGAAATTGAAATTGGTGATAGTATTTTTGGGATGTCTTAGCTGAAATGAAGGAGGTGAGATAAAGGGAAGGACTGTGTTTGCAGCCAAAGAACAGGGTCAGAGAAAGTTGAAGTTGTTATTAGGAAACGTTTTCCGACATTTAAATTAATAGGATGCTAGATTTGATAAGAAAGTAAAGAAGACGAAGATACTGAGGTGTGTGTAAAAAGTTTTTAATAGAGAGAAAAAAGCCAAAAATGTACTAGAGTTAGGTGTTCTTACTTCTTATTGGTGCTCTTACTTATTGTTTCGTACCTGAATTTTTAATTACTTTATATCTAAGATCGAATGATAGTAATTTGTTGCAGAGTCTTTGGTGTAGTTACTAAAGATATTTGAGAGGATTGAGTCAGATTTTTTTTTTTTTTTACTTATATTAAGATTTTATTTTTTTGATAAAATAAAAAAAAATAATTTAATTAAAATAATCGATAATTAATAAAATATTTATATAATGTTTGAAAATGATTCATGTGAAATATTTAATAATTTTAAGTAAATATAAATCGTATTTAATAATTTTAAATAAATTGAATGTTAAATGATTAATTTTAAAATAATTATTTTAATTGGATGTTCGTGAAACATTGGATGAGTCATTATCTAAGATTAATAACGTGACTATCTAAACATGCTTGGTATGGACGACTCAAAATAATGATCATGTTAACCAAAATTTGAACAAATTAATCATTGATAAGTTGATTTAGGCATAAGGTGACGAAACCCCAAACTGAACCAGGATAGTTTTGACTCCGCCGTTTAATCTCACATGTTCTGCAACCCATTATGTAGCATTTGCGACAAAAGTAGTGGAAGCACGAATCATCTGGTTTAGATTTGGGATTCTTTGCAAAACAACAAAACACTTCAAAATGGACATATTTCCAAGTCAAACATCGGCCAATTCTTTACCTCTTTATTGTTTCTAGTTTTCTAACTATTTAAAAATAAAAAATTAAATATATTTTTATATCTATTCAATTCTTTTTTTTAAAAAGATTTAAAGGAGAATTGAACGATTAATAATTTAGGGAATGCGGTGCCTGGCGGTGGACTAGACTTGAGCGTGGTTCCCACCTCACAGGAGCATGGCTAATGACGAAGTTGTGACGTTAAAACCTCAATAGGAAACAGTAGCTGAACTTGAAATTCACAAACCAAAATCGAAAAAGGAAAAAAAGCATCCAACACAAGACAAGGTTTAGGAAACAGCTTGAAAAAACCAAACCACTTTCAAAATACCATCCGTTAGTCCAACGCAAACAGCCAACTACCTCTTCCAACTGCCTTTCCCTCTTTCCCAAAAGTCTTTTCATTCTCAAAACCAAGGACATCAAAAAACAGGCCTAAAACCAAAGCAACTTTTTTTTTTATATGTCCGAAAAGAGTCTACGACGACGGCTTCCAAGATGCCGGCGACCAAGGCTCCCGTACCCATCACCAACCCCAAGGCTTCGTACGCCTCCTCCACATCGGCGATCGGCTAAAAGGTCGTCGAACCATGGTAGGATTCTGAAGCGATGTGCGTCAGAGCCGTGTCTTTGGAGCAGTGTTGGTCATGAAGATCAGCAAATTAGAAGTTCTTTCGTGGGTTCTGAAGGGGAAAGGGCACCTTTGTTTAGGCCTCAAACTTTTGCTGACGTCTTTTCTTCTTCTCCTTCTTTGTTGGGTTTTGGTTCTCCTTCTTCTTCTCCAAAGCAGGGTTTTGAGGTATGCTCATTGGTCAAACTTGATCCCATGTTTTCTTTACAGTAATTTCTTTCTATGGGTTAAAAATTGCAAAATTATATATATTTTCAATTTTTTTAAGCCCAAAAATTTTCCCAGAGTCAATTAATCAATTAGATTCAAATCCAATAAGCTAATTTAGACATTATAGCTTGTGATTGCTTGCTTGACAAGCAGCAATTGTCTACAAACTCTGAAGAAGTCTTCAATTGTATGTGAAGGTTGGGATGCAGGGATACAACAAAGATGCTAAGGTTGTGATCAATGTATCAGTAGAAGGAAGTCCCGGACCAGTCCGGACCATGGTCAAATTGGGGTCCAGTGTCGAAGATACTATAAAGCTTGTTGCAGACAAGTATGTTGAAGAAGGGAGAACTCCTAAGCTTGATTGCAATTCGGGATTGGAATTGCATTATTCCTATTTTAGCCTTCAGAGTAAGTGGTTTCAGATAACTGATCATGCATGTTCTTCAATCCTGTTACCTGCTGTTTTTCTATTTGATTTCTATCTTTGGTTGCACCCATTTTATATGGTTTCAATGTTTTTGGTTGAGTAGGTTTGGATAAATCACAGTTAATTGGGGATGCTGGTAGCAGGAGCTTCTATCTTAGAAAGAATAGCAGTGGCCATAGCAGTAATGGAGCATCTAATTCTTTTGTTTCAGAAATTGCTCCAGCAAGTGCCAACTCTCCTCCAGCCGTTCCACCTCCAACATATTTGCTTCCAGCTTTCATAGCTCGAAAACTAAGCAAAATCGTCAGAAGAACGCGTAGGCTCTGGAAGGTCTTGGTTTGCTTGAGATGATATGGATAGCCAGGAATTCCAGGATCATAACATTGTTAGAGTAAGACAAACTATTATCATGCTGCTCTAACAACTGTAATCACAGTGATACGTAATTCCCTTTTCTCATTTTTTTGATTGCTTTCTCCCATTATTATCGGGATTGCCCTTCTATTATTTACCATCATTTTTATCATGCAAATTGTAAATACTACTTTTTAATACTAAAAACTGAAAAAGAAAAAAAAGGATGTGAAATTATTCTACTTTCTATTTTAAGTTTTAATTCTTGCTTCTTATAACATGATTTGAATCCCAAGCTTCTATGTTTTTGTAAAGGCAACAATATTGTTCCAACTCAGCAGTTTTGTTGCATAATCTGAAAAAACAAAAGAAAGAAGCTGCAGTAGCAGGGGAAGCAAAGAGGCCTGATAGAAGGCTGCTTCATCTTTGTTTAAAAAATATATATATTTTTTACTAAAATTTCAAATTATTTGAATCATTAAAACAGTTCACTGTAATTTGATATTAAAGGAACATGAAAGAAAAGTAAAGTTGCAGGAAAAACCATAGCAATCAATCAAAAATTTGACAAATAATGTTTTTTAAATTGGCTTTGTCACAATCCATTGAACCAGAATCATGCATCATGGTACAATATATATTATATCGTATCCCACAAGATAAATGGTGCTGAAGAAATACTCTGCTTCTTGCAATTAAAATGTTACACGCAAGAGTGAGCGTGCGTTGAAAAAAACAAGCATTTTATCATTTTCGTCGGCAAAGTTCAGATGGTTCTTTTCGTGTGGAATAGTCCATCTTAAACCAGCATAGAAACAGTAGCCTAACACTTGAATGTAAAAGCAAAGGATTTAATTGGGAAAGCTCGAGGTTTGGTTAGGTTGTCATTCTCCTAGGAAAAGGTGATTGCCAATAGGCAGGAAGCCAATAAGAGAGAACAGCCTCCTTCCTTGGACGCTAGAACACCATTAGGCTTTTTGCCTACCATCAATGTGCCTAATTGGCTTAACTTTGGCTCAATGATTTTAATATATGTATATCGTATGGGTGGACGTCATAATCAAAAGAATGCATCAAATTTCGTACCAAAACAGCACTTTCTTTTGGATTTGTCTATTATTCGTATAATTACTGTAAACCCCATTTTCGAGAATGGATTTATCCGTTAGAATGCTCAAGTTGAGCCATTATTTATTTGTTATTTAGAAGCTAGGCCCATTTGTACAGCTGAACCAATATTTGGGAATAGCTAGCTCGCCATCTCATGATACAAACATAAGAATCCAATAACTTATTATTGCTTATTATTGATCCGTAGCTGTCAGCATAATTAGGAGGTTCATAGGAGTATTTGGATTCGTAGCTGTCAGCTCAAGAACTAATCTCATTTTTATTATTATTTTCAATCTCAATCAATTTCATCGTCTAATGGAAGGGATTGGCCAGTAGAAGAACAATACCCCCTTTGCAGATCATGATAGAACTCAAACCAACTTCACTGCTGACTGAGCCGTGTCTAGCCATTCAATGAAAATAAGGCATGGAGGCCGAGAGTACTTCAAGTCAGCCAAATTTAGAAAGAAAAAGATACAAATAAATTGGCATTAGCAACATCTTTCTCTTTAGTCTTTTCCCATAAAAAAGAAAGATAAAAAAAAAGATGATTTTCCTTTGTATGAAGAATACCTTTCTTGCTTTGATTTAAAGAGAAAATGCCAAGGAATATATATCTTTCTTTTCAGTAAAAACAAAATCAATTCCCATGTTTTTCATAAAACAATTGGTCAAAATCATTAATCTCTATAGTTTTTTTTCTTTCGATGATTTGGGTAATAAAAAAAAACCAATTACACAAATTTATTTACTTTTTAAAATTAAAAAATTTTTAATTTTCACAACAAGTTATATTATAGCAATACTAAATATTACTCAAAGTAAAACAGTGAAAAAGGTTAAAAAGGGTTAAAAAATCTTAAGTCTTTCGAGTCTTAAACTCAAATGGTAGTACTTTCCCTGACTACTTTTGGTCGGATGTTTCAGGCGTTTCAGAAGTCAGAGCAACAAGCCAACACAACCTTTCCTCATCGTGTCTTCCTGGTACTATCAGAGACAGGGAAAACCCGTGCGCATTTCTCACCAGGCACAGCTAAATCCTGTCCCGGGCTTCATCCTCTTATCGTTAAAGCAAAAATTCAAGGAAGAAATAAGGAAAAGAGAAGAGATAGGAAGAGGGGGAGAGAAAGAGAGTCATGGGAGAACTCTTCATATGGCTTATTTCTTTTTTCATCCTCATTGCCCTTCTCGTTCTCCTTGTTTACCAGGTCAATTCCCTTTTAAACCCTATAGTCTTTGTTTTCCTTTGTTTTTTCTTTTCTGGGTCTGCTTGTCATTTTGTTTATATCCCTTCTTTTTTGTCCGAATTATGTTATGCTTTGCTATTAGCTTGGCAGTTAATGATTATTTAGTTGCAAGAAAATCACTTAATAAATGCAAATTTTTGCTGTCTTTGTGTTGAGAAAAGGAGAGAAGAAATAGTATTTTCGGATTGCATTTATCAGGCTGTGTTGAATTTTGTTGTAAAAAAGGTGTATGGGAAGTGGTATTGATATTTTTATGAATTATCAGAGAAGCGTCTGAGTTGAAGTCCTGATTCCTGGAATAGTCATCCCATTGCCCTTTGATTTGGAGAACCAATTGGGGACTTGGTTTTGGATTTTAAACATAACAAGAAGTTTAACAAAATAAATTTATGTGGCGCTTTGCTCATTTGTGATGTTATTGTTCATCTATAGATTGTTCTGGTTATATGAGAATGGGAAATGGAATTTAACAGCTAGATATTATTGCTGCAGCTCATGTGCTTGGCTGATTTAGAGTTTGATTACATCAATCCTTACGACTCTTCATCACGGATAAACAATGTGGTCTTGCCGGAATTTTTCCTGCAAGGATTTTTATGTTTATTCTATCTATTAACGGGGCATTGGGTCATGTCACTGTTATGTGCTCCATATTTATACTACAATGGTAGACTGTAAGTTTTTCTCTCATCTTCTTATTATACTTTTTATTATGAGTGGTCTATTTTGAGAAAAATGTCAGATGATAGTTTTCACTAGCTTTGATTCACGGTAATTTTCAAATTTCTTCACTGCAATTCCCTCGTATATTTTGAGCATTAAACCCTGTGTCCAGTAGGATTAATCCCCTGTCTGTTTGATGATTCTATTTAGTTCCAAGAACTTGTTGGATAATGTGACTGATGTATTGTGGGCCTTGTGACTGTTAAGATTTATAACTTCTAACTTGTGCAAAGAAATCCGTTACTGCATAGCTAATAACTTAATATAGGAGCATTGTAACTTTATGACAATGGAAATTTTATTATATACCCATACTTTTGCGGGACCTCATTGTATTGAGTATGAGTGTTAATAAATAGCTTATTGTTTGTGTTGTTTACTTAGGGTACCTTTTGCCACTCTTAGGTTAGAGACACATGCTATGAAGCAGCTAATTGCAAAGAAAATTGGGATATATCTTATGAGTGTAATATTTATCGCAATGTTATATCAATAGATGGAAACAATAGAATGCCTTTATGAGGGAGAAAAGAATAGAAGAGAGGGAAGAAGGGGATTGATTGGCAGGCATAATAATGACTTTTTGTTTAATTTCCTAACAAACAATTATCAGGTGTCCCAACTAATATTATCTAATTATCTATCTCTTCTGCCAAGTTAGATGGATTTAAGAATTGCATTATGGTTAAATTTAGCTTTATTTCCTCTCTAGCTATTGTAGATTGCATGCAACAGTCTTGGCATATTGCATAACTGTAGTTATTTGTTTGCGGTAAACTAAGTTGCTTTTTATAATATTGATCATGGATCATAGAATAGAGACTCTTAGAGCATATGGAATTTACTTGTTTCCTTGTTGGGAAAAAAATAGTTTATTGCTGTTAAGGTTTATAATTTGCTGAGTGCTGTTGAAGTTGTATATGCTTTGGGCTGTTTTCCTAACTTTCTCGTGCTATCAGTTACACACGAAAACAGCACCTGATGGATGTCACAGAGATATTTAACTTACTTCACTGGGAGAAGAAGCAGCGCCTTTTTAAACTTGCCTACCTTGTTGTTCTCCTCTTTTTCTCCATATTCTGGTAATATTTTTTTGGACAATACAAGGGTTGCTCCCTTTAAACATGTTGCTTTTTTAGTGTCTGCTAACATGGGAACTTATGTATATTTGTTAGGATTATCTGGTCTACGTTAGAAGATGTAGATGATGATTAAAAGCAGATGGCAGCTTTCTTAACTTGAAGTATTTGCTGCTCTAAGCTGCTGCCAAGCATCATCCAGAGTTCTTTTTTTCTATCTTATTTCAGCTTCTGTCGTAACTGATACAGCATAAATTCCAAGGTTGTATGATTGTGAGAATTTCAGTTGATTTTAGTTGAATATATATTTTCCAGGCATCTGGTGTTTGTTTTTTAGGCATTGAGTTTACCTCGTGCTTGGATTTGCTCAAACTATGAGCTTTTTTTTATTCCTAATCTAACAAGGAAAAATCTTGCATTTCTTTTTTTTTTTTTTAATATTATATATATATTAGTTGCTTTTTGCCTTTTACTTTTCTTCCTTAAGAATTGAACTGGAAATACTTGAACTTGGATTGTCATTGATTGTCATTGTTGGATCTTTATTTCTTACAAATAAAAATTCTTTGACTTTGACTGTCTTTCACTTCGGGGATTTTTTTGGATACTGGAAAAGGGTTTCATCACTTGCTAAAGCGAGAATGTAACAAGTTTCTTTTACATTTACTGTGAAGTTTGATATTTTATCAGGATTATCTCGACAATTGATCGAAAAATCTGCTGAATTATCAATGCAACAGAGTATAGATTGAAATGAAACTGTGAAAGGGTGAAACACTTGGATATTTCAGTATTTTTGGTTTGATAAAAGAACCATCCAATAGGGCAAGCATATTTAGGACCTTATTACTTGTTAGGAACTTCGGAGTTGAGAAGCAAATCCAAGTGTTCTGAATTAATCAGCCTGGTCTATTAGATGTTGGAATGTAGGCTAAAGAGCTTCTTAAATAACCGGCTAATTATCAAACAGGCGAAACAAATTCATGCTCAAATCATTATTACCAGTCTTAACAACCTCCAGCCCCTCTTGCTTCATCAGTTCCTTCTGTCAACTAACAACTGCTCTATAAGACAAAGTGTTTTCCTATATGTGCAAGAAATCCTTTACATTTTGCAAAAGCCAGATGTTTTTTCGTGGGGTTCACAGAAAGGTTTTTATCCCAGCATGGGCAGTTTGAACAATCTATTTCTCTTTATGTTAAAATGCAGAAGCTAGGATTGTACACAAACACACATGCCATGTCGTCTGCTTTAAGAGCATTTGCTAGGACTGAGTGTAAAACGATTGGATTTTGATCCATGCTCAGGTTCACAGATATGGGGTTTGCAACTGTCTTTTTGTGCAAACAGCTCTTTTGGATTTGTATATGAAACTGGGTGATACGCATACTGCAAAAAGGGTTTTTCATGAGATGCCTGAGAAAAATGTGGTCTCATGGAATTCGATTTTATCTGGGTATTTGAAAGCTGGGAATTTAGGAGAGGCTCAAAGGGGTTTTTATGAGATTTCAAAGAAAGATGTTTTATCTTGGAATGCAATTCTATCAGGATATGCAAAAATGGGAAATATGGATTGGGCGCTTTCACATTTTCGGCAGATGCCTGAGAAAAACTCGGCTTCTTGGAATACTATGGTTACTGGTTATGTGGGGAAATAGAATCAGCTTGGAGTTTTTTTTTTTTTTTGACATGTTACATAAAAGAAATTAGGGTAAATTATATAAATATATCTTCAGGTTTAATCTTGAAATTTAAAAAGTAATACTTAACTACTCTGAGCTGTGTATTTGTAATATTCCATTAGTTTTCTTTAATGTTATTTACGCATAATCAATAAATCTTAACTCTTTCTTTATTTTTTTTTTTATTTCTCGTATTCAAAATTTTCAAAAAAAAAAAAGTTGGAAGCATGAATTTTTCACAATCTTTAGCAAGTGGGGATCAAATGGTGAAAAAATATATTATTATGGTGTGGAATCACCTATAAGAACATCTAGAACAAGAAATCATCGTGGACGAAAATTTTATGGTTGTTGCAAAATTGAGGTGAGATGAACTTCATTTAATTTTGAAATAACTTGTTCATTAAATAATGTATTTAATTTTATATTTCTTGTTAGGAAAGTCAAAAATGTGATTTCTTCCTGTGGGTGAATGAAATGTTGTGTTTTTTTGTAAAAGAAAGATAATTAAATTGAAAGAAACAATAAAAAAAATAAAATATGAGATTTTCAAGTTAAATTAAAAAAAAGCAAGAATTATTTGAAGAATTGGTTTTAGTTTAGCAAAAATAAATGAGTTTGCAAGAAGAATTAGTTAAAGCAAAAAAAAAAAAATGAAGCTAAAATTGAAGGAAGAACTTGTTGACACTTAGAATAAAGGAAAAAATTAGGTGTTTTTAATTTGATAAAGTGTTCTAATTTTGTTTATGGTAATTTTATATGATCACTTTAATCCAAGAAGTTGTAGAAACCAATTTTTGGAATTGAAGAGTTGAAATTCCAATGTTGATATTAATAGGAATGAGTTAATGCTTTATGTGTACCAAGTGTTCGTGGAAATGACTCAATGAACTTTGTGATTAATATATACAGTTTTCTTCTATTATAGCTATGTTAAATCATTTCTTCTATAATAACTATGTTATTTGATTTATAACACAACTAGTAAATCTGTAAAAAGCTCAACTACCAAATTTTCTAGCACCTAATAACCATATATCGATAATAAACATTATTTGATTAAGAAATATAGCAAAGAACATGAAGGCTTTCAATTCATATTTGTATGAGAAACAAGTTATTTTGTTAACAAAGTAACATTGGTCATAATAAAACCTGTAAAGATATTGGCTATAAAAAAAAAAGACTATACCTTAAAATGGTTCATTCATATTCAACCTAAAAAGAATTATACCAACAGTAGGCTTTCATACAAAAATAACTATACCCTAAACTAGTTCCTAACTTCTACCTAACAATAACTATACATCAACATACATCATCAGAATAGCATTACAAACCATTCCCAGATTGCACCTAAACTCTTTGGCTACCAGTTGCTTGGCTTTTAAATTTTTTGTTGCTAGTTTTTTTATTTCTGCCAGCAGTGTCATTGCCAACTAGTTGGCTATCAGATGCATGGTTACTACCAATAGTAGGCCTACCCCTTCATCTAATTGGTGTAACTTTTGGCCTAAAAGGTCCTCATCTTCTTCTTTTGGTAACATTTATAGTAGTTCTTCCTATTGGACTTACACCAAGATTTAAAGTTATAGCAGTAGCTAGAACTTGTGTATCAATATTTGTAGTACCTCTTTTTCTCATACCAACATTGCCATCATTTGTTGTAGTTCTTCCTCTTTAAACAACATTAGAGTAGCTTTTCCTCTTGTATTAACATTGTCATCATTTATTCTTCTACCAGCATCAAGAGGTACTTTTTTAGATCTATTTCTTTGGATTTGCATTTTTTTAGATCTACCTCTACCAGTAGCCTTTCCTCTTAAACTTATCCTTGAAAAAGATGCAGAATTCTAAGCAACCTATCAAAATAACCACATAAAGAAAATTAAATAAATAACAAGATAAATAATCTGATAAACAAAAACAACAAAAATAAAAATTACAATTGATACTTTGATAAACAATCTAATAAATAAAATAAACAACAAGATAAACAATATGATAACTACATACAATCAGACACCATGAAATTACAACTGAGACAATAAGATAAACAAATACAACATGAAACAAAAAATAAGAGGCTCATAAGATAGCGTGAAAACAAAAACAACATGAAAAACAGCGTTAAACAATCTTATAAACAAAAATAGCAGAAATAGCCTTCATCATATATAGTAGAAATATTAAAAATTATTACTTGAGTATGGATCCTTAACCCTTTTAACCTTATCCTTCTTTGCCATGAAGTCTTTTTTACAATTGATGCCTTATAATATCTCATATTTTGTCTTTCTTGACCACAGTTTCCACACCTTATTGATTGTTCCTCCTAAACAATTTGTAAGTATTTTGAGGTTTGTTAGTTGCTTTCTTTATTAATTTTCTTAGTCTATCTTGTGGTTTACAAATGATTGGATGAGCTTAATGATGGTTATTTGTAACCCATTCTTGTTGTCCTAGAATATGATTAATTATTCTATCATATGTCTTCATATAGATCTCTTTGGAGTGGCAAAAATGGACATAACTTTTTGATTTTTCTTTGTTCTTAAAAATATCTGAAAACAACATGCTTATAAGGGATTCCAATCAAATCCCAATATATAGATACAACTTTGTTCTACCAAGTTCACAATATAGCTAGTTATACCACATTCAACTTCATAAATATACCTACTAGCTAAAACTGAAAAATAGTTGAATTAGTCTTTTTTTATTATTTCTAGTTTGTCCTGAACATTTGGACAGATAGGGCTTTTGTATGACTCCATTCCAACTCTTTTAGCATGAAACATTTTCATCAATCTTTTCCTAATCCATTCTAACATGCTCAGTATATGCAAATCCCTAGCTTGTAAGATGTAAGTATTAAATGACTTACTAAGATTATTAACCAACAAATCACTCTTAGTTCTTATGCTAAAATGAAACCTTACCCACTTAGATAGGTTCAATCTATTTACCTAAGCACAAGCCTAACTTGTTTTATCAAATCCTTAAAGATACAACATGGTTTTTTCCCATTCTTTAACTGACTCAACATTTATTGCTTTCCACAAAGCTTGTTTATACTCTTTCCCCTTTGAATTATTCGTTGACATTTGTGTAAAAGTACCTCAAATAGAACCTATGCTCGACTTTAGGGTATATTTATTGAAATGTTTGCTTTAATCCCTACCAAATAAAAAGAAAATAAAATATATATTGTTAGAAATCAGAACATAAAAGACATTAGATAAATAGAGAACTAACAAGAAATTTTATACCTTCTGTTGATTTGACATGAATTCTAATTTTAGTTCATGAAAATTGCCAACTTTTTCATGTAACAGATTAAGAAACCAATACCATTTTTTTTTTATTCTCTTGTTCAATTACTACATAACAAAATGGGAAAAAATTTTCATTTCCATCTTGAGCAACAACACTGAGTAATTGTCCTCCAAAATGACATTTCAAATGATAGCCATCCAGCCGTGTCAGCCTTCACATCCATTAGTAAATCTCTTATTTTATGCATCAAACATAATAAAAATCTTTCAAATCTAGGAATAAAATATTTGGAAACACCAATTTCATAATCAAAATTTTGAGATTCCAATTTCATCAATGCAGAGTGTAAACACCCATTTTGGTTCGGGTCTAATTAGGCCCATTTTGATCTGGACTCAACTAGACCCATTTTGATCCAGGCCCAATTAGGCCATCTTCATCTAGGCCCAACTAGGCCTATTTTGGTCAGGTCTATTATGGCCCATTTTGTCTAAGTAGATGCTTTCATTATCATTATTATTATTATTATTATTATTATTACTATTTTTATTTTTTTTATTATTATCTTTATTTTTATTTTTTTGTTTCCTTTTCTGTTTTTTTTTTTTCCTTTTCTTTTGATTCAACCTGTACGAGAAAATTAGGATCGAAATCCTCTTGGTCAACACAGAATCAAATTAATACAACTGCTAAAATTTTAGCCCCAAAATCTCATCTGGACATAATTGAATCCTAAGAATCAAGTATGGGATTGATTCTGTCTATTTTCTGAATTGATCTTAAGCTGCCTATAAATTGGACTAATTCTACAGAACAATAACACACGGAGAGACACACAGAAAAACAAAGTGAAAATCATAAGTTTGGGAAATTTTCGGGCAGAAAGGGTTCTGAAATTTGATCTTGGGATTTTGAGGTTAATTTGTGGTTCTATGAGTGAATTCAGGTTTATGAAGGTGAATTTAGGATTATAGAAGGTTTGGGGAAGTCTTAGGATGATCTAGGAATTTTTTTGAATTTTTTAGATTTTTTTGGGTATTTTTGGGTTTTCTGAAGAACTTTAAATTTTTCGATGAAATTTTTTGGCGAATGTTGAAGTTTCCAACGAGATTCCGATGAGATTTTTAGAATTCGACAGGTTTTCCAAAAATTGGTGGGTTTTTCTAGTTTTTGGTTGAATTTTTAGGTGAAGTTTTCAGAAACCGACAGGATTTTTGGTTTTCAGTTAAACTTTTCGGTAGACTTTTTAAAGAGAGGTAAGAGGTTTTGGGATGTAGAGAGAGAAAGGCTATGGAGTTTTGAGGAAAAAACGTTGAAGGATGCCTTATATAACGCCTCTACATGACATTGTTTTGGTCGCCTAAGATTTATGCGTTGACCCGAAGACCGGCGTGCCAACCCGCGTCTTGACCTGACCCGATCGCAGGTTTTTGTTTTTTATTTTTATTTTATTTTATTTCTAACCCATTTTTTACTTTATTTTATTATTTTCTTTAAAAAAAACAAAGGAACAAAAAAAAAATTACTTCTGCCACTGATATCTTTTTTTAAAAAATATATTTTAAAAAAAAATTCAAATTTTTTTTTTGAAAATAATGTTTTCAAAATAATAAATAAATGAATAAAAATTTTGAAAAGTTTTACTATTCTAATAAAATTCATAAATTATCTGGTAAATTATAAAAATGAGCAAGACT